TAAAGAAGTTGCTTAATTAAAAGTAGTGTTCCAGTAGGCATTTAGATGACGTTTCATTTGTAAGGGCTTGTTGTTGATTGAAATCAAGGTATATAAAAAAAATTAGAAAGTTAATTATCTTGATGTGTTTGAAACGAATTAGGGTAATTCATAAATATTTGTCCTTACAGATAATTTTCAAGCTTAATCACAGTTTTTTGTTTGTTTGTTTTGTTTCAGAGAGGAGTTCAGGGTAAAGTCACCTTCAATATAGCCCCTAGCTTTAGGAATGCTCCCCCACCCTGTGAGGTAAAGTGAACTTTCATTGGTTATTTGGTGTCTTCGAAAACTACGTACTCATTATATAAAAAAAAAAACAGTTAACATAGACCTCATTTGTTTACCAGTGAAACACTGCCACCTAGTGAGTATATTTAAATATAATTATATTTCTCATTACCTTTGTCCACTTGATAACTGCTGTATTTATGAGCCTACATATCAGAGCTAATTAGTATTATTTGACTTAGGTAGAACAGTCGGCTATTCCAAAAAAAAAAAACAACTTACAATTAGTTATATACGACCATATCATTTAATAATAAATTAACCAAGTCTCAGTTTGCCACTGAAGAAGGTCCACCTTTCGAAAGCGCTGGGTTATAGGGTTTTTATCATTTTGTATTTAGTAATTAATTATTTTGTTGCTTATGCAATCGCAGTTAGGTTCGTTGTAAAAGTGAGTGAAGTATGGGTGCACGTGAGGTAAGCGGCCGGGTCAGAGACCAATGGGATTCCGGTATAACCACTCTAAATTTTAGTCTGTTGACGCGTTCCTTATTCGGCCTGTTAAACCAAATAACAGTATTGATTGTTACTTTTATAACACTTCCACAGCTGAAAGTACAGGGTGGAGTGAGTGTGATGTGTGTTGTATGAAACTTAAATTTAGTTTGCTGGATGGGCTCGTTATAAAAATAGCTAGTAAAGACAGTGACCAGAGCGCGAGTTAAACAGACACGTGACAATGTTAGTAATAATAATAGCATTATGAGGCCTAATAGTATTACTACTTCCAGAAATGGGGGTAGTTGGAAGGACGAGGATTGGTTTAATGGTACTTAAAAAAGGTTGGAAACCAATGACGTATACTTCCGCACCGACAGAATTTCAAATACACATAAAGTGTGCATCTAGAAAGTATAAAGTATTCTTGTATATACATTTAACTGCTATAAGAAAGTCAGGGATGTCAGAAACAAAATTCTAACCTCTGAGAATGATTTAATATGTCTAGTGTCATATTATTCCCTACCATGCCATTCTTGTTGATTTCTTAAAGCTCATGTCAATGTTATATCATTTCATTCAAATTATACAAGGTATCTGAGGCCAGAATCAGTACAGGATGTTTCGTTTAATGTATTTTCTTTTAATTCATAATAACCGTGTAATATATTACTCTCAAATTTGAAACATCTGATTCTGTTGTAAACGAAGACACTTAGTGATACTTAATACTTTGTTTTCTTTATAAATATGCTTAATGACTTTTAACACAGGATCCCTCCCACAACCAGAGGCTTCTCAATAGCAGGGATCGGACGTAAAAAACTCCAGGGTTTATCCTACTTTGGTGAAACTTGTAAAAAAGTGTAGCTTACGATGAGATATGACGGTTATACTTTACAGTTTCAAAATGGGATAAAAAGTGATCGAGTTATGACTGGCCACATCAGCAGCAGAAATCCCATAGTTAATGACAGTACTTCTTGTGTAACAGATGGGTCCGCTATGTGAACCTATCTTTACACATTGTTGCATCTGTTTCTCAGACCAGAGAACAATAGATCTTCAGCAGATAGCTCCAAGCTCCGCTGACCGTGACTGGAACTTTTCTATTATTTGGCATGTTATCATCAGTCACCATTATTCCTTCGATTACTTGCCTATACAAGGTTCCGAAATGTTCCACTTGCAACTCGCGTGGCCGCTGTGGATGCCATCAGGATGGATTTTTGGGCAGCCCTTGTTGAGGCAGACCCATCTATTAAGCCCAAATGAGCTATGGCGTCACTCAAAAATATATTTGGTGTTGAAAAGGACAGTAGTAATAACAGTAGAAGGAGGCTTCTGCCAGGTCAGAAGATCAATAATTAGATCTCCGACCTCAAATATACAATAAGAATAGTTGATTTGGGAATGAAAATACATATACAATTGAAAAGGTCGCACAAATTGATTTGAGAGTCAAATAACAGATAACTAATTGGTATGTATGACTGTTTCTGTTAAGGTGGTGTGGCCACTCCCAAACCCTGTGTCTCTTTGACTGTTCATAACTCCCGACTGAAATATGAAGCCACCATATGAATTACGTATTTGGATACAACAGATTCCGGACTTTCCAACATTTATGCAAAACCTCCAGGAATTTCTTGTTCCTTGCCCTGCCACCCAAAAACACGACTCTGCCTCTGGTTGAGGTAGAGTTCCTGTGTTAAAGGGTTTATTAGAAAGTCTCGCATAATAAGTGCTCACTTTTACGCAGTCCATCCTTGTTCGTGCGAAATGTTTTATATTAGAACAAACAAGAACTATTATTCTTTATTATCTTAAGTTGATGCTATTCTCTTTCTCGTGACGTGCCAATATCAATACTTGGGTTTATGGCCGAAAATATTGTTAACACTGTCATACCCAACTGATGAAACACTGAACCATAATTTTTCCAAGTAAAACAAAAGAACGATATATATTTAATTAGCTATACTTTTACAGGGTTGATTGTTATTTTTTATTTTAGTGGATTACTTAATCTTATCAGACCTTAATATATTTGTTTAATATACTTAATCAATCGAAATTTATATAGTTAAACCTAATACAACCTCCAGTGGCTCAGTGGTAAGTCCGAAGGCTTATAACGCTAAATACCAGATTTCGATACCCATGGTGAGCAGAGTAAAAATAGCCCGTTGTATATGGCTTTGTGTTTAATAACAAACAATCAGGCAAAAAAAAAATCCTATTCCATCACATTACCATTGTTTCCAGTACAAGAGATTTGATGTGTATGTTGTAGTTCGTTGAGAGATGGAAGTTGGTAAACCAGAAGGTTTCTGGTCAATTTGCACTGCAACATAAATGGAGGATTTAACTTCATCACGAATGTTTGTGATATTTCGAATTCTTACAAGCGCATTACTAGCAATTAATTGTAGATTAACCCTTTAGATCATTTGGTAGATTCCTCACTTGTACTGTGAGTAGTCCTGGGTTCGAATTCTGCAAGAAAAAGACGCACAAATTGAAGTTATCATATGAAAAACTTGCGCCCAAGGTGTTGCCCTCCATGACTCTGAAGTAAGGCGCGAGGGTCGGCCTTGTTTATGATGAGAGGGGAAGAATGTAGTTGTTTAAAAGTACCTTAACTACAATTGTTAGTGAGTTAACGCTTTAGCTCAGTTGTTAGATCCCTCGCGAGCAGTCTCAGTTTCAAATCCTGCACGAGGGAGACGAAACAATTGGGTTACCATATATATTCTGTTGTTGTAAAACAAAACACGTGAAATATTGATGAACTTAAGTGGTTTGTTGCCTTTGCT